TAGAGCAGGCCTTGGGACAAGGGATGTGATTAATGGAGCTGCTGACACAGGTGTGCGACCTGTACATCTGTACAGACTGCATTGAGAAAGATCAGAGTCTGGTTTGACACACTTCATCATTTCTGAATGAGAACCGGGTTTTTCCACTTCACATTGTGCTTCACAAATTGTACCTCCAGTTCTGAGAAGCCGTATCTGCTACCCCTTGCTTATCCCTCACTCGCTGGGAAAAATTCCAGTGCTCCTCTGTAGCGTCTAAGGCTGACGATGCATCTGAGTTTATAGTCACAGTTTTATTATTGTGGCTATCTGATTAATGCTAGTTTCCTACTTTAAATAAGCTTTGTAAGCAGGGACTGTAGTTATGTTCACCATCATAATCCCACCCATATTATCTTCAAGATGATCAGTTGTTTGAGTCTTTTTTAATTTTTATTAGTTTTTAAATTATGTGAGTGAGTGCAAATGCCTGGGGAGGCCAAAGGCATTGGATGCCCTGAAGCTGGATCCTCAGGAAGTTGTAAGCTGCCAGATGTGGGTTCTGGGAACCAAAATTGAGTCCTCTGGATCAACAGCAAGTATTTATAACAGCTGAGCTATCTCCTCAGCCCACCATTTTAGTCTTACTTATAAATGATTATAAAAAATAACCATCTTTTTCTCATTCCATAATTTAAATGTAAATTTTAAAAGTTATCTGTTTTGATCTGTTGCTGCCCTGGACTGCACTGCATATGGAGGATTGCAGCTTTTCTAGAGAGGTTGATATTTAAGTCAAACTTAATATAACTTAGTGCTCTTGGGTGAGAATTATCTCTTCATCAGAAGAGGGGATGTCCAGGCATGTTTGGACAGAGTTATCCTACCCATACAAAGACCCTTCACTCTGTTTTTCTTCTTCTTACCTCTACAACGAGCTGCAGCACCTGACCTTTGTCCATCTCAGTGAGCAGCACTCTGGACTCAGCCTGCAACCAAGGATCAAGATGGAGTCTAGGACTGTGCACTTTAAAGGGAAACAGTCTTACTCCTCCACAGAAGAACGCCCGTGTCTGAGATGACCAATCACTGGCCAGCTAACAGCACTGAAATGGCCACACACCTGGCTCTACTGGGAGAGAGGTTATACACTGAGAGGACAGAGCATCATTTTTAATAATGGAAACAGTGCTTCACAGAGCAGAGAGAAGCAGTGCACATCTCTGACACTGAGAACTGCTCTCCGAGCCCTCGACCACTTCTAGAGTCCTTTTGACCAAATGAAAAGCAGCATGTGTCTTGATGAAAGCCTTTACTTTCAGGTGCATATCGCTCATAGTCGAATGCATCCCCAGTTCATAGAACAGGATCTGTTTTTGAAAAAGTAAAAAACAAAACAACAGGGTCAATTTTATCCAGGACTGGCATCAAACTCACTGAGAGAATGACCTCAAACTCGTAATCCTCCTGCCTCCACTTCCTAGGGCTGGAATTACAAGCGTGTACCACTCCACCTGGTTTTACAGGGTGCTGGCATATCAAACTTTGTGCGTGCTAAGCAAGCACTCTACAAACTAGGCTGCACCCCAACCCCAAGGGAAATATTCATAAAGAATCAATGTATCTCACAATCTGAATTGAGGATCAAATGCTGCAAATACTGTGAGAACAGAAGAGGAGAACAGACAAGTGGCTGTGGACTCCACGTAAAATGAAGGAAACTAAAGGCAACCCCTTCCCCGTAACCTGTCCTGAATGACTTTGTCTGCACTGTGTTTCAAACAGTAGAGTCAGGAGGAAAAGGAACACTAATTGGGGGGACAGAAGATTTGTCAAGGAAAGACCAGGTCTGGTGAGTCACAGAGGACTGAGGTGAGCCTGGGGGGACTCAGGGTAAAGGGGATGGGTGTCTGGGGAAAGGGCCCATGAGCCCTCCAAAAGGAAAGAGAAAAATGAGAGCAGAGAAGACAAACACTTTGCCACCTTGAAATTTTGCCCAAGGCTCTCCTTTTCACTAAATCCCATTACAGCATCTGTCATAAATAACAGCGAATTATTTACTCAAGAGGCCATGGCACAATAAAGGATAGGCGTGAAACAATAAAAATAGTAATGAAAACAGAGGGAAGGGATATAAGGGAAAGAAATTCTACAAAAAGAAGGATTTTGTCTGCTAAAAGGGTTTTCAGCTCCAAGAATAAAAGAGAATCTTATAATCTGATTTAGAGGAGAAAAGGCTGTTTTTGTTGTTGTTTTTTAAGCCATCTGAAGGTGTAGCTGAGGGACCCATTTCACCCTCACATCCATCCTATGAAGCAGCAGCCAAATCATGGGGAAGTTTCCCAGGAGCTTACTATCCTGACCTGTCGCCCGGTCACCGAGCACTCTGAGGGCTGTGTATGGCCGACTCACGTTTGCTGCTCAGTTCCTACAACTCCTATTGGTATAGTATCTATTAGGAATAGAAAAAAAGAGGGACAGCCCATACTGTTGGGGCACCCTACTACAGAGGTCCCCAGACCCCACAACTTTTTCTCCATGCTTGGAAATAAAGAGTATTCTGAGGGCTCTGTAACCAACATGTCCTGTGATTCCTCTATGGCAGTGTTTCTCATCCTGTGGGTCATGACCCCTTTGAGGGTCGAACAACCCTTTCACAGGGGTCACATATCAGATATCCTGCGTATTGGATACTTACATTACAATTCAGTTATGTAAGTAGCAAAGTTACAGTTATGAAGTAGCAACAAAAATAATCCCATGACTGGGGGTCATCACAACATGACGAACTGTATTAAAAGGTCGCAGCATTAGGAAAGTTGAGAACCATGGCTCTCTGGGCCTGGGCCAGAGCCTACGCTGATGAAAAGGTTTAAGTTGTTGATAAAGGCATTTAGGTTGTTGCCCATGACACTGAAACTGACAATAATAAAAATGTAAAATAACAATAAGCTATTCCCAACTGTGAGCCGACCGCCTCATGTCATTCAGATTCCGTGGTCTCCCTTGCCTGCAGTCCTGTGCAGAGGTGCTGGCTGCAGCCGCCCCTGGAACACTTCTGTCTCGATGCACCAGGCAGCCCCATCTTGGGCATTTGAGGTACTCCCTCATGTCTACCAGGCTTTCTTTTGGGGCCACCAACCAGATCCAAATCATGACAAAGAAACTTATTAGTTATAAATGCTTGGCCTAGCTTAGGCTTGTTTCTGCCTAGCTCTTTTAACTTAAAGTAACCTGTTTCTCTTCATCTACCTTTTGCTGTGGGGTTTTTTTACTTTTCTTTCTCTCTTTCTATCTTTCACTGCTTCTTGTGTCTGGCTGGCTGGCAGCTGCCTCGCTTCTGGCCCCAAGTGTGTGCCTCTCCCCCTTGTTCTCTTCTCCAGTTTTTCCTCTCTTGTTTTTGAGCCTAGATTTCTCCTATCTATTCTCTTTGCTTGCTAGCCCTATCTATCCTCTCCTGCCTAGTATTGGCTGGTCATCTTTTTATTAGACCATTGCAACACATCTTTACATAATTAAACACACATCCTTACATCGTTAAATGCAGCATAAACAAATATAACACATCTTCACACAGTTAAAGTAATATTCTGCAGCATAAACAAATGTAACACATCTTCACGTAGTTGTGGGAGCGTCGACTGTCAAGCCATCTAGGCCCCAACAACAGCAGCATCTGATGTACAAGTTCACCGCCCAGGATACTCCCCTCATGACTGCCTGGGCTTCCCCCTCATCCCTCTCAAGATGCCACCTCCTCAGAGAAGACATTTCCCATCCAACAAGGCAGCCCCAGTAACTGTCAAGCCCCTTCCTTTGCTTTATACATCCCTGCCTTCCTGTTGCCTCTGTGGATGGCCCATTTCCCCCTGAGAATGTTAACCCAAGGACTCTAGGCTTGCTCACCTCTGTAGTCCCCTGCATAGCAGGATAGGGCCTTAGTACCCTGGCCATCCATATTGTTCCTCAGATTTATTTCTGTCCTAAGATATGTGTGTGTGTATCCACACATGTGTGTGGGTGATTAGAGACCAGAGAAGGTATCTGAACCCTTGGAGTTGGAGTTATGTGTACTGGAACCTGACTTCTGGTCCTCATCCTTGAGCAGCACTTATAGTTAACCTCTGAGTCATCTCTCCTGACACCTCAGATTTCTATTAGTGATGCTTATCTATGAAATAATCCACTAATTCAAGCGTTTAAATTCTTAATCCTGAGTCCCAGTTAATGAGTGAAGAATATGGGTTTTGTCTATGGTCAAGCTCTCTAGATAATGACACTTATTTATTTATATTTTTACATGATAAATGGCAGTACAAACACCAACAACATCATTCTTCATCTGGGAGCCAGTAATCCAAGCACCAAGCAAGCTAAACTCCCCAAGAACTGCTAAATCAAGAATTGCATAGCACCCCAGCACTGTACAGCCTATGGCTGTGGACTGAACCATGTCCCCAAAACTGTTGTGCTGAAGTAATGAGGCGAGACCATTCAATGGGGCCCCGATTCAGCAAGGCTCATGTCAGTGAGAAGGTGCCAGGCCTTTACTCCTCCCCCTCCTCCCCCTCCCTCGTATTACATACACAGAGAGAGAGAACGACACATGAAATCAGGCTATCTACAACCTTGAGAGGCTTCACCAAAATTGCCACAACTGAATTTTCCTAGCTTTGATTTTGGACTTCTAGCTTCCTGAAATATGAAAAAATAACTTTTCATTTAAACTGTCTGGTCTATGTGATTTTGTCACAGAGGCCCATGAGGACTGACACACCCTTCTTTGCTGAAGGGTGCATTTCCCCCCCCCCCCCCCCCCCCCCCGAGAGAACAAAACGACCCAGTCCCTGCAACCTTGCAGGTCAGACTTTCTATACAAGTGGGGGTTTTACGTAAGCAGATGATAAAAAGCTCCAGCCAGTGAAACAGCACTTTTCAAGGCAGTATGTCTCTTCAGATGACCCGGAACCATCCAGATCATCTTCAGAGGGACGCTCCTGATAGGTTCATGCTTTGAAAGGGCATATTCCACCAGCAGAAAGGAGGGCGAGCTAGTAACACGTTTAAGATTAGCATGGGAAAGTTAAATAGCACCGTGTGCGGAAGCTGAGGAGAAAATGCTAACACAACACAAAGGTTAACCACATTCAAGAGATCAATGAAAACAGAAGGCATGAACTTCTCAAGAAAGACTGTGTAATCGGAATACAGGAGAGAGCCCACACATCCTCCACAACATCTGCCTCCACCCAAAGGAAAGGCACACAGATCTGGAAAAGAACATATGCGACACAGAGGAAAAGGAGCAGCCAAGTCCATTGTAAGCGCTTCGTCGTCATTAGCACATTCGGCACTCACCGAGAATCGTTTTTATGAAGCACTTTAATGACATGGAAAATGCATGACATACGATTAAGTGGGGGGGGAGCGGGATATAAAATTGAATTACAAATAATCTTGATTTATGAAAAAATAAGTCCAGAGCAGAAAGATCAGATGGTTGTAAGACAAATGCTGCCGTTTCCCTCCGGTTGGTGAGATGGTGCATATTTTTCCTGAATGGTCTGCTTTTATGAAATTTCTACTAACAAATATTTGTTGCTTTAAGCATCAGAAAATAGGAACCTAAGATGTATGTGGCTATTGGATGCCGCTTCCAGCTGGTATTGAGGCCAAGAGTCCCGGTCCAGGAATTGTGATGAAGGATATCAATATCAGTAGTATGCAAGGACCCATAAACACTATAGAGGCCAGAAATCTCTGGTTTTCACATAATGGGCATCTGAAACCCTCAGGCCAGTATCTCTGGAAAAATCTTGATTTGGTACCTTTCAAACCTGGACAAGGGGGAGAAAGGGGGCAAGCTTACCTTTAGTCTGTCCATTATTCCCTTAAATGTGAGCTCTATCTTTCTCTGTTACCAAAGCCTCATGGAAACAGTATGCAGAGCCCCTGCCACCTCCACAGACCCCAGCACTCTCATCCCTGGCTCCTGCAGCAATCTGCTTTCGTAATGATGGCATTAAGGAACTGGGGGCTTGGTTCTCTCTTTTCCCCATATCCACCTGTTCCAACCACACAGCATTCTCCAGTCGCCCTTTGCTGCCTCCTTCCTGTCCCCTCAACATTTCCGTCAGCCACCTCCTCCTCCCAGCTCCTCCAGCCTCCCTTTTCATAGCTTTATTTATCTATAGGCAATTGAGACTCGGCCCTGATGACCATAACAAGCCAGCCTTCCTTGGCACACCAGAGCATAATATGGCCGAGGACTCTGACGGTCTAAAAATTGGAAAACCTTCCTCAGCAGACTCCTATAGCCTCCTAGAATATTAAAGGGTTGAAAGTACCAAAGGGATAGAAACCTGCTTACATTTAACAGATGTCTTTTGCAAAACCTCGCTTGAAAATCCTGTTGTACCCAATAAATGAGTGATACTGAATTTGCTTTCTCAGTCTCAGAATACACTTCTAATGCAGCTCCCTCCCCATAACACAAGTGGCCTAGACACAGCCTGCAGCACAGGGATGTTGGTCTAATATACTGGTGTGGAAATCTGAGCTCTGAGAGACCAGACAGCATCAGGCTGCAGCCTCTGCTTCAACCCTCGTGGTGGCATCTGGCCTGCCTAAACACCACCACATCTGCCCGACAGATGGGAGCTGGGCTCTCACTCCACCCTCACCCTCTCCACTGACTGATGTTCTACTTTTTCTGTCTTTCATCTTATCCACCAGAAGCCACTTTGTAAAAAACATCCACACATGCAGCAGATATACTAGCAAAGTATATCCAATCAATAATCTCCTTCCCAGTCTTGCTCACTCCTCATCTTCTCCAGGGAACTTCTTAGAAGAGATCATGACAATTTTCTTGGGCTTTTGTTTTTCTGACAATTAACCCCATATGTACACTCATCCATCATGTCCTCAAGGATATTTTCCCAACATGGTCATAACTAGAATCTACCATAAACTTTTGGTACGTTGTTGAGCTCCATAAATACCTAGCATGGTGACTGTGACACACATATTTTGTGTGTGTGCATCACTATGCCTAGCACACAATGAGGATCACATTCCATATGCTGTGTCCCATTCCATATGCTGTGTCCCACACAATAACTCAGCTAAAATACTGAGGAATAGGGCTGGAGAGATGGGCTGGCCATTTAAGTGCACTGACTGCTCTTCCAGAGGACCTGAGTTCGATTCTGAAAACCCACATGACAGTTCACATCCCCTGTGATTCCAGCCCCAGGGAATGCGATGCTGTCTCCCAGCCTCCATGGGCACCAGACATTTAAGTGGTGCACAAACATACACGTAGGCAAAACGCCCATACACATAAAATATTTTTTTAACTGAGTAGAATGTCTAGAACTTGACCTTGACCGAGATTAGTAGCTGATGAGTATTGTTTTTTTGGCTCTTTACTCTTTTGAGAGGTCCACCACCCAGCTCCCAAATAAATCACACAGGGAGGCTTACTCTTAATTATCAATGCTCAACCTTAGCTTGGATTATTGCTAGCCAGTTTTCCTTAAATTATCCTGCCTTTTGCCTCTGGGCTTTTCCCATTCTCTTACTTCTGTAAATCTTACTCTTACTCCGTGGCTTGCTGTGTAGCTGGGTGGCTGGCCCCTGGAGTCCTCCTCCTTCTCTGGCGGCTACTTTTTTTTTCTCCCAGATCTCTCTTTCTATATATTCTCTCTGCCTGTCAGCCCCACCCTATCCTTTCTCCTGCCTTGCTGTTGGCCGTTCATTTCTTTATTAGAACAATTAGGTGTTTTAGACAGGCACAGTAACACAGCTTCTCAGAGTTAAGCAAATGCAACATAAACAAAAGTAACACACCTTAAAATAATATTCTACAACAGATGAGTGACAGACTGATTCCAAATCTCTTTTGTTTTACCCCCAGCCTATACCGATGGGAACGTAAGACAGAAACTGGCTGGGTGGTTTTAGGGATGTAGTCATTGAAGTGGTCTTGTCATTAGCCAAGAGCCAGAAATCTCTTTGGTTCTATATTGGCCAGAGACAGAAAAGTTATAATTGTCAGAAGGTTCTGCTTTCTGGTTTGGTTTTGTATTGTCTTTTTTCTCCTTTTACAAAGGTGCCTGAAAGTTATACAGGAGGGTGTGGTCAACACTGAGGTACATGGACACTTCCTAAGTGGGATACCTGGATTGGCCACCTTACTCCTCATGCCTCAACCTAGAAAAGCCTTCTTAACTCTACGGAGGCCCTTGTCTGCATCCCTGCTCATAGACCCTGCTCTTGCTACACCAGAACTCTGCTGCCTCCCATCTTCAGCTCTCACCTACGAGCCTACCTTTCCAAAACTCACCCTGATGCTTCCAAAACTCATGCTCCCTGTGGTCCCTGGAATTCATTCTTGGAGTTTTTGATTCAAAGGACCCAGAAGCCACTGATCTGGGGTGGTTTTGGTAGCTGTTGATTTTTCAGAACCCTCCCCCAGCTATTGCCCACCTAGGTGAGACAGCCTCCATGGCTCTCAAGGACTCCTGTTTTTCCTCTATATCAAGGCTTTCTGGCCACTAGACACCAAGGTCTGTGGACAAAATGGTCCATGTCTGCCTTTAGTCACTCCTGTCCCCTGATCATCTACCATGCGTCATCTTTCTTTGTATTTTAGAAGTACTAAATGAGGAGATGAAGAACTAGGCAGAAAGTTCAAACATTTTGGAAATATGCCGTATATAAAGTGAAAGTGGTTCTTAAGTCTCCCACCACCAAAGCCAGATTTTACTGGACACTACCACAGTGTACATGAGGTATGTGTCTGCTTTCATGAACTATGGGGACCTCCCAAAGACAGGAAATGCTCCCCCCCCCCCCCCCGGACACTGTCACTACATTGGTACATTCCTCACTCACAGCACGTCTCTGCCATCAACACAAACACTCGTATGTCACTGTGTTAACAGATGATGGATAAACATGTGTATCATCAAGGCATAAACAGCATCAGTCACAGTATCTTAATGAAGAAAAATGATAGGCTCAACAAGCGTGCATGTATGTGAACTCAAATGAATTAAGTAGCAAAACACAGAAACAAATCACTGGAATGTGTTAAAACGGAAGCGGGCAGAGCAGCACACCACCTGCTCGGCTTTCCTCACAACCATGGCAATGACCACAGAAATATTATCGACCCTTTCTATAGAAAATATAAAACTGTGAGGCAGGTACTACATGGCAAAAATCAGTTCTTAACATTATTCCAATTGAGAGAAATAGTGAGTAGAAACATCAAGACCAGACTTATTAGGACTTTGTAAGAAATCTAAACAAGATCCCCAAACTCAGTAAACCATCTAAGAGTTCGGGCCTTGGTTCCTTGCTAGCTTATGAAAGGAGCCTGGACAGAGTCAAGAATACTCAAGTCAGTGGTTCTTAACCTATGGGTCACAACCCCTTTGTGAGTTGAATGACCCTTTCATAGGAGTCGCCTAAGACCATCAGAAAACAGATATTTACATTACAATTCATAACAGTAGCAAAATTGCAGTTATGAAGTAGAAACAAAAATAAGTCTATGGTTGAGGGTCGCCACAGCATGAGGAACTGTATTAAAGGGTCGCAGCATTAGGAAGGTTGAGAACCACTGATTTAACTAAACCACATATATGCAGTGTGGAGAAATGTGGCAGGAACTGCTTGCTGCTTAATAGGACACATTCTTCCCTTCCCCCATTGTGATTGAATTGTACCAAGCCGCAAGGCTTTCTGTGACGCTAACTTGATTGTCAACTGGACTACACCTGGAGTCAACTAAAGTCCAAACCGCTGGGCATGCCTGTGGGGGATTTTCCTCAGATTATTTGAGGTGGGAAGACCCACCCTAAATCTGGGCCACACCTTCTAGTGACAGCCCACATAAAAGGAGGAGGCTTCAGGCTGTTTGTCTCTGCTCACTCTTGCTGGCAAGTTCATCTTTCCTGTTGTTGAGGTATCCTTCACCTGTATTAGAACCTTCTTCTTCAGGGTTCCAACACAGACTGAAGATCAGCAGCAGTCTAGGAGTCCTCTAGGACTCCAGTGCCAGATGGTGGGACTACTGAGACATCCAGCCTCATGGATGGAACAACTTCAAGATTCTCTGTCCTTCCCTCGTGAGACAATCACTGTTGAACTACTCAGACTATAACCTGTCTATTAAATCCCCTTTTAATGTATATATACATATATATGTTATATTTATGTATACGTGTGTGTGTGTGTGTGTGTGTGTGTGTGTGTGTGTGTGTGTGTGTGTACACACATTTTATCAGTTCAGTTCCTTTGGAGAACCCTGCCTAAAACAGCTTCCTAAGAACACTGTGGTCTCCAGCCTCCTTGGTAGCAAGTGTAGCCAAATGACTACACTCTTGCCAATGAAACTAACGGAAGTGAAGGGTGCCATTTTTGAGGGCATGGCAGCTCTGCTTTCTTGCTATCTTTTCCTGTCTAACTAGACCCCCATGTACAGCTGCTACCTAGCTCTAGCCAAGAGCATTACAAGGTCCTAGAGAATGGCATAAAGACACACCAGCTCACCGAACCTCCACATGGAGTGCCTACCAACCTAGAGATGTTCATCTCTGTGACATGAACTAAGCATTCACTGATCTTCTTAGGGATGGTATCTCAGGTCTCATCATTTTAGTCTATCCCCATATGTACAATATGCATCACCAGAGGCCTATTTCATTCTATTCTGCTAATGTTATAACTGTACTTCCCCAGTGATCTATTCCACTGGGACCCAGAAGAAATAGGCTCAATTTTTCAAGTGACTATGACAAGAGAAAGACAATCCAAAGGAGGAAACTAAGTTGGTCATGTGATTGTCTTGGCAGGCAAAGAGGACACTTAAGCCTCCCCACCCCTTGGCTATCAGACTATTGAAATAATGAGCCCCTGGAACAGGAGATGCTTCAGGATATATGCTGAGAGAAGAAAAGGCTCAAGCTTGCTGCCAGCCAGAGGACCTTGGCTCCCAGGAAGAGATTTTATACAATTCTGACAACTTGCAGGATAGACCAGTGTGTTAATGATGGAAAGTACCATTCCTTGACCAAGACTATTTAGTTATATGTTCCTCTTGCCCTCTATACAGTCGATTATTTATTATTTTATATGAATGGGTGTTTTGCCTGCATGTATGTCTCTGCACCCCTTGCATTGCTGGTACTCACAGAAGTCAGAAGAGAGTATCAAAGCCCCTGGAACTGGAGTTACAGATGGTTGTGAGCCACCATGACATTGCTTTAGAACCGAACCTAGGTCATCTAGAAGAGCAGCCAGTGCTCTTAACTGCTGAACTGACTCTCCAGCAATCCCTCTTATTAAAATGAGCCACATGTCAGGTTCCTCAAGGAGGACTTGGAGAAGACCACTGGACCTCTTTGTTCTTCTCCATGTGGTTGAATAAATCCCCCTTCTTTGTTTTTCACTGTTATTCCTCTCTTTAACTGAGGTGGGTGGGTGAGTTTAGCTTGTTGGGACTTCTTGGGCCAAGCTCTTCCCCAGAAACCCTGGTTACAGCCTCTTTCTTCTAGCAACACAAGGTGATAGAGAAATGGTTTAGGTCCCATGAGAAGTGCCTTCATGGGACATTGCATATATGTTACACTGTTCAATTCTAGGAGTAGGTAACAGTTTCAGATATCTGAAAGTCCATTCTAAGAGAGAAGGAACTCTCTTCCTTTCATATTTCTTATTGTGAATGAATATATTCTCATAGTAATACACTCTAAAAACATAGGGTAGTCTTTGTTCAGGTCTCTTCTTTCCCCTCAGAGGAATACATGTCAACAATCCCAGGTGCCACCCTCCATAGATTCAGTATTCAACGTCTTCTACAAACACCAAGCAATTCACTTAGAGTTCTACCAGGAGAATGGAGAAAGATAAACCAAGATTAACACAGTAAAGAAGCCAGTCGATGGAGAAAAACTGAGAGCCCTCCCCAGCCTGGGATTCAGTCAACAAATGGAGAAGGTTCCAGAAAAGCCCTTCAGACACAAATGTGGGAGTGGCGAGTGATGTGTCAATGTCCTATGAAGGGTCATGTGGCTCATAGGCCAGCACTTTGGGGGCCCTTCTTTCAGCTCACTAGCCCATCCCCACTCTTTCTTAATGAATGTCTCTATTCCTAATTCTGGCATTGCTTCCCTGGACACAAGTGCTAGATACCCTGGCAGGTGTGTCTGTTACACAATGATCTCTTGGAATCCCTTTCTTGACTTTCTAACTTCAGAATGAACTTCTTATGGGGAGGGGGATGGCGCAATAGGTAACAGGGTAAGCTGTGTGCTAGCCTTCTGGGAAGACAGCGGACTCTACAAAAGATGCTGGGCCATGTGCATCATGGCATGCACATACATGTGTGCGTGCACATGCACACACACACAAGAGGAAGAAAAGGAAGAAGAGGAGGATGGAGGAGGAGGAGGAGAAAAAGAAGGAGAAGGAGGTGATGATATAGTCAAGTTTCAAATGAGTTACTTAAAACCAGCAAGACGGCTCTGTGCTGCCTGGCAACCTGAGTTTGACCCCCCAGAACTCATGTGGTGGAAGAAGAAAACTAACTCAAATAAAAATTGTTCTGACTTCTACACGCGTGCTTTATCACACACACACACACACACACACACACACACACACACACACACACACACACATCATACACACATGCCCATGTATGTACGTGTGTATGTGTGTGTGTGTGTGCGCGCGCGTACGCACACGCACGCACACATTCTCGATCAACTCCAGAACCTGTCTCTTCCATTCTAAAACATGACCCAGAACTTCACCTGTTAACTATTTGTCCTGCTCCCTCACTAGACTGTGTGACTTTTGAGGACAAGCATTCTTTTAGTTACCTGAATAAATGCACAGAGACTCCATAGCAGCTTCCCTGGGTGGTCGTGAAAGTGTGCACAAGGAAGTTCTGGGGTATCAGGTTTTGTTCAATTAAAACCAAAGCCAAAGATTTAAGAAGTCACTGTTTGAAGTAGAACCAAGTGCTTGTGAATTAACCAGAGCTAAACCGAAGAGTTTTTGACTGAGGGTTTTTCATTCAAAGAGTTTCTTACGCTGTAGGAAAATTTGGTTTATCCACGAGTCATGCATCCTTACTCTAAAATATAATGCCAAAATTGAATTCTCATTCCACTAAGTTTCCAACTTTGTGTGTGTTTCTTATGTTTATTCATTTGTTATTTTATGTGTATAATGTGTACCTGTGTGTATGTACATGTACCCCAGCATGCAGAAACCCACGGAGGTCAGGAGAGTCCCCCTGAACTAGAGTTACAGATTGCTTTAAGCCAGCATGGGAGTGCTGGAAGTCATACCTGGGTCCTCTGCAAGAGCAGTAAGCATTCTAACTGCTGAGCTATCTCTGCAGCCCTGTGGGTGCGCTCTTCTGAGAGCTCTAAGAAAGAACCAGAAACCATCTACCCTCCTTCCTTATGGCTCCTCCCACTGTGGTTCCCCTGTATCTTTCTTCAATATCCTAAGCAGAGACAAGAAAACAGACCTCTCACTATAGGAAGAATATAACTTCCAGGTCCTATTTCCTTGGCAGGCTTTGAACACAGATTCCTTCCTTCTTTAACAGAACACGGTAAATTTTGAAGAAATGTTCCTCTAAAGACAAGGAAATAAGTATGCTTTTGTGTTTACTGGGTTCTTAAATGTTAATGATTTCATTTCACTAATCGGAAAATTTCATGAAAATGATCCTCATAAAAGCAGCATTAAAGCTGGGATATGGCCATTTGTCATCTCTGATGGATTGAGAACCGGGTTGCTCCTTCACTGGGGCTTTGCCTAATGTACTTTTCCTGTTTCCTCTACTTGTTTATGTGTTTCTCCTTCTAGATCTATCGTTCGCATTAAGTCGTCACAATATCCCATAACTAACTCAGAGCAAAGAATTTTGCATCATATGAGATTAGAAGGAAAGCATTTCCTTTTGATATTATCATGAGAAATTTAGGGCTGGAGAGATGATGGCTCAGTGGTTAAGAGAAATTTTTTCTGTCAAAAGATTTTTTTTTCCTCTTCCAGTAGATCTTGAGTTTTCCCTCTTTCAGGATTTTTGCAATTATCCCACAGTTACCGGTCCCCCCTTAAGGCCAAATCGAATTACTTTGAGCTTATCGCCAACCTTTAGCATTTCTTTCATTTTGTTGGGATCTAATTAGAGACGGTTCTTTCCTAAGTAACATTTCAAAACCATCCCCCACAAAGCCTGAATACCCGCTGCTGCCTCCCCAGTCTATTCTCACAGGCTCTCCTGAAACCGCTCTCGCTGAAAAGTGAAGGCTGCAGAGAGGCCAGGGATGAAAGCGCAGCCCGCGTGTGAAACCCAAATTGAAATCACAGAAGGCGGGATTCACACGGCTAATTGTTGCTTAGCAATAATGCGCACAACATGCTAATGGAACGGTGGCTCCCGGGCACCAGGAAGGCTGCTTCCACGCTGCAGTAAATCGGGGCATTCGACAGCCCAGAGAGGTGCCAAGAAAAGGAATTCCATGCCTCAGGAGGCCAGGGAAAGCTCTGCCTTCCTTCCTAGTTACTGCTCAATTGAAAAGAAAGCCCCCTATACCCGTTAGTCAGTCCTGTTGCAGGTGCTTGGAGACTCTGATTATCCTAAAGCGGTCCCTGGTGGATGTGCGTGTGCCTCCGAGAAATGGTTTTGTTTTCATTTCGCTGTTAAAAAATATTCTCAGTGAGACGAGACGTGAAAATCCCAGTTTATGTCTCGTTGATCGAGTGGGTGGGATGGGCTCCTGCCACCACAGCCCCCCCCCCACACACACACACACCATGGGGACCCTTTGGGTGCTATTAATATTAATGTTTACACCGCCAGTATCAAGATTGTGTTTCAGGAACGAACAAACAAGCGTCAGTGTACAGGACTAAGCCGGAATGAACAGATCTACAGAGCTAAGAAGAACTTTCCCTGGCATTAAGTTTGCAGTTTCTGAGAGGGCTTCCAAGACAGCTTGGGCCACCGTGGCAGTGAAGGCATCCGAGTTTACCCCCGTCTCCCACACCTCTGATTACATGTCAATGAACAGAATGATGCACAGGGAAGATATTTGGAGGTTAGATAGAACCTGGTTCCATACTACATAGATCTTTTTCTTTTATTGAAAATGGATTTTTTTGTAC